CCCCACTGGGAGATGCTGTTCCTGCTTATGGGCGACCCCGAGACGCACTTGTACTCAGAGAGAGTTCTCCTGGGAAACCTAGAGACTCAAACACCAGGGAAAAAACCCATCTCCAAAAGCTCACTGGAGCCTTCTGGAAGATTTGGGAAGGATCCAGAAGAGCCATCAGATGCGATACACGGCGACCAGATCCAAGAGCGACATCTGCTCCGCGTCCCACTGGTGCGAAGCTCGGCGCCTGTGAGAAGGTTGTGAGCCACCCGCTCTAGCAGGCGCTGCGTTTAGGGGTGCAGGGGCTGCGTTTCAGGGCGCAGGGACGCACCTGCATCACTGGCTCAGCCTTGCGTACCTGCTCCCCCCACATAGCAGAAGACACAGCTGGACGACAGAGGAAGGCGCTGGTAACTTCAGAAAGCGCCTTTCTGAAAACGTCTGCTCGGTAATAATCCCACCTCTGGCTTAAAGCCGCTTTTATTCTAACTCAGCACCTACTTAACCAGATGCGTCTGCGAAGTCCTGAGACCGCCCTCTCCGAAGGAGCCGGCGTCTTGCTTTCCCGGCTCGTTTCACAGACATTCATGGTGCACCTACCCTGTGACAGATACTGCCCCCAAAACAGCAGACACGAAGTGGAAGCAGTAACTTAAAAATGATTTATGTAATTTTATATATCAAATGTGAAGTAATAATTTAAAAACCCACTGGGAGCTATGAAATCGGAGCCAAGCGGGCAGCAGTCCGTCTGCTGGAAGACTCATCATGATTCGGAGAAAGCGCCCAACACTGCCCTTCAAAGGGCAGCAAAAGAGCCTGCACAGCAACAGTTCGTCACAACTATCCTGAGTCTGCCCACAGCGACCAGCCGACGTCTTAAAGCCATTTAGCCGTTAGCAACCGAACAGTTTCTAAAATGCTCTAAAACCATTCTGCAACTCAGTGAAGATGCTTCATCAGAAGTGAAAACCAAACCCCACTCCCCAATCACTATTAGGCAATGACTAAAGAACTTAAGGAGACACTCAAGAATTCTGTGACCTTTTACATCGAGAAGAGACTTTCCACCGTCTGGCTGCTGGGAAGCATGTCACAGACACCTGCGTGCAAGCTTTCGCGTGAATACGTCCTCCG